TCCCAAAACCCAACCTCAGGATCTTTGAAATCGTTTCCAACTTGTTCTATAGCAGAATCTCCGCCATTAATTTCGAAGCGAATTTACTTGATAGCGGTAAAATCGTCATGCTTGGAGTATATTAACCGGGACCACCGAGCGCGCCTAGTTTCTTCAAATCGGGATCGATTCCCATACTACAGACAATACTACCAATATACCATTACGTCTTTATCCGCCGGGGTACTATTGATGCCTCCTCGGGTTTTGGCCCATGGGCAAAAACCCTACGGGGACAAAAACAATTATATGCCACTCGTTACCTGATTCCTAAGTTTGCGAAGAGTTGCTTCGTTAGCGTGCTTAAGAAACCAGCTTTTCTTGATCAACACACACTCGGCGCCATTACTAACCTGAAATCACACAAACACAAAAAATATATAAATAAATACATCCATATTTGTTCAGAAAGTTAATCGTTTATGACGACGACGACGCAAACGACCGAAGCTCCGCCCCAATATTTACCATGCAATGATTATGAAGATAAAATCAGGTTATTGTTACCAAAAACCGTATTTTCCCGTTTTCTTTCAAACCCAAATGCAAACTACTATTGATTTTATTTTATGTTAGTTCCAATCTGACAGCGTCTAGCGGGGTAGATAATTTGATCACTGGTACATACCAAGTGGCATTTAACAGCAGTATTGTCGAAGAGAAGCATTGAAAGACCCTGGAGAAGAAAAGGAAGTTGAAGTTAGCTGTTGTGACGTCATATTGTATCCATAGTGAAGTAAAACAAGAATAACTTACAAACTGGTCTTTGGGCTTCAGTAGCTCTATCTGTACTACCACCTGTTCCCCTTCCGGTGTTTCGGTTCTGTTCTTATCGCTCTGAAATTGTAATTTTATGTCAAACGTTGAGCCTACGTAGGTTGCACCCGACTGGCAATAAAGGGGAGCGAATGTAATGGCTACAAAGTGCAGGTACTTGTATAATTCCGGTGTCGTCCGCACATATCTGAAGCCACTAGCGGAATAGCTTTAATCACTCCAATTCCACCTGTTCACTCAATTGTTCCAATTTTAATTGTATATAGTTTGTTTTTTTAATTTTGATAACATTGATAACACAGTACTGCTGTGGCAATGTACTAATTTCGTGGATCAAAACGTTATCTGAGTTAATGAAGTGTATGGTTTGGCGGTCTTTGTCCAAGAACTGAACTAAATGCAATGTAAAGACAAGTGGGGAATTTTTACTATCATTTTGTATTTGTATCAAGTACACCCTCCCCCCACCCCTTATTCAACTAACGATGTAATTGAAAATCTTTGGCGTACAAGTGACACTGATAGAGTATTTACCAGTATGTCATGAGGGGTAATTTTCATATCATTTTTTTCTGGCAGCAAAGAGCTGCGACTGCCCGTTCTGACGACTTACCGAAGGAGTTTTGTTCCTGGGATTATCCACGTTACTGATTCGTTTATGCAATCTTTCGATCTTTTCTCGATGTTCTTCCATGTCTCTGGCTGCATGACGAGAAAAACAAAACGATCATTAGCCATCGTTTCATTGCAGTATGTTTTAGATAAACACAGTGCTTAATCACCGTCTGTGTGTTTCTCTCAGAACTGATCATTCTCAAATAATTGTATTTGTTTGCTCATTTTTTGCTGTTGGAGGCTTGCTGACTTAATGGTCCATATCAATGGTCCATATCATGGCCGGGATCACTGGATTTAAACCTCTTGAGCAAGACACTCTACTTGTTTCACAGTGCCTCTCGATCCTGAAGATTCTCTCTACCTCACATTACGACACAACAATTTTTCCCTGATAGCGGAGAAACAAAGTACGCCTAGACTTAAAACAGCTCTAGCTACCTTCTCGAGAAATGGTGCTCATTCGTCCCATCCAAGTCACGTTTTTAGCTGTTTTCTGAGGATTGAAGATAAATGCAGGTAAAAACTAATTGAAAGAGGAAATGAATAAGAAATTGAATCAGCTATCTCCTACAACTTAGGTTAAACCCCCACCTTAAATTTCTCTGGTTCACCGACTAACGCGGGTAATGATAAGTCGTGGTTATGCTTTGAAGACAATGAAGGTTCTGTCTTGGGTCGTTTTATGTCTGGAGACCACAAAATGGGTCTGACACGATCACCAGCAGCTGAAAAGACAAAAAATAAACCTGTTGACATAATTGGATTGGTTTACTGTTAAAATAAATGGCGAATACTCTGGGTGCTTTGTCGAAACAGTTTTGTTTCACCCAAGATTAATTACCGGTAAATACCCGTGAAAGCACAACAATCGATAATAAGCGATAACTGAACAAGCACAACCCGAAACTATCACTCATTGATTGTGACGTACAGCGAACGTTGAGGACAACCATCTGGTAAATATTTCCTTACATATCTATGAAACTGTAATTTTGAGGAATCCTTACTTATCATAATGGCTGTATTTTTGCTAAAAATTTCGAACGCATACGTGTTTTAACAGATGTTAAAAAAACAAAATTTGAAACCGTTGGTTACAGCAATTTATAAAATAACTGAGCTATTGCGCGCGCTCTCATTGGTCGATAGACGTGTTTAGATGGGAGTATGAAAATACGGTTGTGACGTGTTAGATTCGCGCGTATGTTTGAGAATTATTTTATAAAAGCAATAGAGCACTTTTTCCGTGTTTACATGGCCTCATCTAACTACTCGGGGGTTGGGAGAATTCTCGAAAGTTACGCAAACCCTCGACTACGTCTCGAGTTTGCATAACTGTCTCCAATTCTCCGATCCCTCCTCGTGTTTAGATGAGGCTATGTAAACACAGAAAAAGTTTTCTATTGCTTAAACATTCGTTGTTTACAACAATATACAAGTTTTACTATGCGGGTCCGACGCAAACAAAACGACAAATTTGATTATACATAGAATACGTAGACTTAAAATACCGCCTGCCTAGCGCCTTAAGATAGGTTATGTTTGGTGTCTAAATTAGCAGCTGCCAGTTGAAGAAGTACCTGAAGTTGATAAAACCTGTTTGGAATATCAAAACACAAGGCTTGTAATACTACAAAGGCTTTACGCACCTACATCTTTTAGAAGTAAGCTCTAACAGGTGTCAATTTCGTCACACCATTCAGCGTTGTTCTTTTGGCTAAGATTCAGATTGAGCTACGAATCAATAGAAATCAAAAGGAAACGTTTTGCAGTTGATCAACTTTTTTTCATCTGCATACGATTATGCCGATATGCATTTTTTAGCGGGTGGCAAAAAGCCTTTCGTCCAATGGGATGGACAAAACTTGGATCTGTGATTGGCGCATTTCTGGGGATAAAAGTGGCGGTCTTCTCAAAGTCTGCGTGACGTCGACAGACCACGTCTTCATCGTCGTCGTTATTTTACCTCACTTCATAATGGAGGTGAATAGCATCAATATGTTGATCATTGTCGCAGTTGCTTTCTTGTTCATATTGGTCCTGCTGAGGTTTGGAGCACAGTACTACATTGCTAAGATCGTGGCCAGAGTTGTTACAATTTTTCAGCNGGAAGATCTTTCAAATAAGGGACACTTCTGCAACGGGAAATTAGAATATGTGCGATCTTGTCAGTTTGCTAAAACAGTCCTGAGTTTGAGTTTTTAACTATAAACTTGAGCTTTCTCACCGTAAAAAGCGGATATGTTCGGGCTCTCTACCGTCCTCGTAACTCATAAAAATATCACGGAAATCCTGCAAGAAACAAGAAAGGGAAGATTTATATAGAAAAAAATACTCAGAGTATCAACTGCTCTCTCGGCTCTCTTATCTCTGCTCCCAGTCCAAAATGGTACATACCGTGTACCATGCCGTTTGTCCTAGAATGAAATTTTAGGTTTGAAGTTGTTAGTCATCAGTGGAGATACATCCAAAGACACAATCTATGCATGGGGTGCCAACATACTGGAAAGTTATCAGATTTCCCTGTTAAAACCCAAGGAAAAGGCAGTATTGATTTATGGACCTCTGCTCATCAGATATGGTCTGAATTCTTCGGCTGTCCACAATGTGTGTGATATTCGGTTGGAGGTGCAGAGAGGGAGAGAGAAAGATATGGCGCGCAGAGAATGATGAGAAGAGACAGGTGAACCTGCTGGCGCTGCAATACAAGCTTTGAGTTTACCCTCCATCAAACACTGAGAATCGAAATAGCGCTGAGTATGATAATTGGTGCTTAGTGGCGAACCTACCTCCCTGCAAACAGCTAGAAGAGAGACTTCATCTTTGCACAAAACTGTTGCACTTCGAGTTTTGTGGTGAAGCAATGCCAATTCCTGTGAGAAGTAAAAATAATTTCAATAAACACATTGCGTCATCGATTCAATAAAATTTCTTTTTAATTTCAAGATCACAAAGTACATTTTCAAGTCCTTAAGTTCTTCACAGGACTGTGCTCATACACTAAACAATCTACTGGAAACCTGATGTAAGCTTTGCTAATTTACGCAAAAAGCGTCTTCACTTGTCATAACGCGTTGATTATGCGTTGTCATTTAGACGCCACAAGGAGTCGCATAGGGTACAAAAGCGAGAGGCCATAGCTAGGGAAGAACAATCCGACAGAAAACCTTGGCCTTCCAGTTGGGAGAATGAATGGTGGGCTAACCAGATACCCTTGTGAGCTTCACGGATTACTGAGTGAGAAGAGAAAACAAAAAGAGAAAAGAAATCGTTACATACCCCAAAACTGCTTCCTTTGCCTAGAACTGCGACAGTCGTGTTTCTCTGTTCACTAGTAGCAGTATCGTTTACGAGTAGCGTTACCAGTGCTACAAAACAGCAAAATAATTCAGTCAAGAAAAGACGCCTGGCTGGAGATCAAGAACCCTCACTGGCTACGGAACAACTTAAACTCTCTCCGCGACATACACGTAACTGATCTGCAGCTGATCTGCGGATTTGCCCCCNTCTCCTCCCCCGCCCCTTGCCATTATCTCTGACAATGTTGTAGCTAAACGTTTCTTCATGATTAGTATATTATGCAGCCGATTTTGTGCAAACGGGTTTTCTTTCAGTAGTTTATTATGGTTTTTCTTTTACCTGTTCCAGAAAGAATGAAATAGAAGTTTTCCGCTGTGTGACCCTGTCGTATAATTACTCTCTTAGCTTCAAACCTAAAAACGAAATAGCAGAATATCAAAAACGAACGCCGGTGAACTTTGCAGTAACCAAAGGAAAATAAAACAGACCTGACAGTCACAAACAACTGTGGTTATGGAATTCTTTGACAGTTACGAACCCAGCATGTAATGGAGAGCTGGCCGGATGCAGAAATAATATCGAGATAATAAGGCTGTCGTTGCATTTGCCTGTGTTGTTTTTGCGTTTAACACACGAAGTAGCCTGTAAATAGGGGGCGCGGGCGCGCTCCCCTCGCCGTCTTCCCCGTTTTACGCATGCTGCACAGGCAACACTCGAATTTTTAAACTTCTTTGCATAATGTAAGTACTCAGTCAGGAGTTCCCGTTACTTATGGTCCAACCAGAAATCGTCGAAGACGTCTTAAGCACTATTAGCTTATTTCCATCAATATATCTATATTGTCCAGTCAACCCCCATTCTCCGCCCCAATTTCAATTGTTAGGAGAAGGCATTGTATAAAAACAACAATAACGACAACAGAAACAACTGAGATACTTCCAAAGACGTACAAGGTACTTCTAAAGATTTGGGAAATGCTCTACTTCAGCTTTCACACAATCACATGAACAAAGTACGTCTAGCGTGTCTTTAACATTGATTGACGGAGGAACTGCAGGTTACTTCTCACCTTTCATACCAGCCGACAGACACAAGCCGCCTCTGCATCTTCAGCGGATACTCGCCAAAAGCAGCAACGCTGGTCTTTAGCGCGACTAAGGCCTGGGAACGAATGCAAAAGGTTACTTTCGTCGAGTAAAATACAGTTTACATACAAACGCGAGTGAACCAAGTCACATTAACAGAGCAGGTAAGACTTTGCAGAATGGTTTCATACTTCACATTTAGGAGCTACGTTAAGATTTGTGCATCTTAAAAATTTTAGCCTACATGTTTCAGTCAAGTTCGTCTTTTACAATCCGTATTAATCTTCTCTATCCTTAACCATCCTTATTCCTTTATGGTTTATAAGTTTCTCTTGAGTGCTTTTCTATCTTAGTAAACTATTATTTTCTGCTTCCTTTAATTTTAAGGTGATTCCGATTCATGCGCGCGCTCGCGCGCGTTGCTAGGAGGTGAAATTTCATTTCCGGTTGCTTACGTCAGCCTGAGCGCGGAAAATAATAACAACTCAAAAGCTTGCAACATGGATAGTAGAAGCCAGTCTCTTTACTATCCATGCTTGCAAATTCGCTTACATTTTAGATGTCTTTCTTTGTGTTTCACAAAATGCAAAGTAAAAAAAAAAAGTACAAGCAAAGACAAAATAAGAGAAAGACAGAAAAATAAGAGCATAGAAAGAGAAAAACTAACTCCGTGTGGCTCTGTTTGATCTTACCAAAGTGCGCTGCTAGTGTAAATTGCGCACGCGCTGATAGGGTAACTTCCAATAGATATCGGGCGCACTTCCGGTTTCTTTAAATGCTAATGGAACGCGGTTTTTCATTAAATCGAGCCTTTTCCGACGAATTTCGATTAAAGGCAATGTTGGAAACATAGCTATGTATTCCCTTTTCCAGATCATGCTTTTTTCAGAAAATTACGAATTTTTCAATATTTTGAAATGCTCTCAAAATCTGACCTTGTAGAAATGAAACAAAATCGAGGCATAGCGTAATGAAGGTTTGAATTAAAATATTAAATCAATGAAAAAAATCCCGATAAAGTAATTTGCCTGGGAGCCTTTGCATTTTTTTCTGTATTAGTCACATGACCATGGGCGTGGCCTGATGGCGTCATCACTAGTGTTACTGATCATGAAAAAGCTAAAACACATGAAATAACTCTGAACTAACTAAAAAATGATGAGGTTATATGAGAATAAATTTTCCTTAGCAACGGCTCGAAAAGATCGGTTAATGAGCCCTTAAGAGCCCTGCCAAAAAGTAGTTCGTCAGCTAGTTTTAATTACATCAATCTCGTTTAGTTGTCAAGCTTGCTACTTCGACGATACCAACCACTAACCCAAATGAGAAGATTAGAAAAGTTAATACTGGACATGACGCGGATACTTAACTAATTTGAATATGTTACTTGTTGTTCCTTGCCAAGCCAATTGTCCGCAAAGAAACGGCTATAGCTAAATCAAAATCTCTCAGGAAACCGTTTTGGAGTGGAAAATATTTCCTTTGAGGATATCACACAGACATGTATACAGTTTTAAAACTGTGTTCGTGTTAAATGGCAGGTACGATCTAAGGGCCTCCACAGACTAAACGCTTAGTTGTCGACAATTATTTCTTATCGACAACTAATTGTGTCCGATGCGAGCATTCCACACATTAGATGCCTAAATCAGTCCAGCGAGAGCTTAGGAACTAGGATTCACTACGCATGCTCAAATGTGTGTCATGTTTCGATAGTTGTCGACAACTAAACCAATGAATCCCACACACGGCAAAAAACGGTCAAAACGTAGTTGTCGATTAGTTGTCGACAAACTCATTCCACACACTACGTTTTTAAGTTGTCGATAACAAATAGTTGTCGACAACTAATAAGTGTCGAGTCTGCGGAGGCCCTAACCGCCATTCGTCGATCAATCTGCTTACAGTTTGAAGTTGCTCTTCCGTTCTTGATCCGGGACTCAAAGAAAGGATATGAATAGCTTCTTGGCTGAGTTGTACCTGTTCGAACATAAAGTAAAACGATCTCTAAAAAATGAAATAAACAATAGCGTATTTCCAAGGAAAGACTCAAAAGCATTGTATTGTAATACTAGAAGGTATTTTTGGCGCTCAAATAAGGCTTGCTAAAACGTTCAACTGAGACTTGCCTCGCGTACTGCTTTAAAGTGGTTAGGGTCGAACACCATTCCGTCAACGTCCACTCCGGTAACAGCTTCTTCGTCAAGGTCGGCAAACACATTTGATGCGTTCTGAGAGCGGTATTTCCTACATGACGGAATAAAAACTTCATATCACCACTAGCCGGCAATGCTGCGTTCATTCAGAGCAGACTAGCGAGGCGGTGTCGTGTTTCCAACTAAAACAAACTAATTACAAAACATTAAATGATAATTCTTACTAAGAATAAGCTGTGCGCATGCGTGCACCTTGTGGTACTACTGAGACAACTGAAATCGAGCAAGTCCACCCGAGAAATTCGAAAACCAAAGGATTTAGTCGACATATACTCTTTCAGGAGGTAGTGTCATACATTGAAAGTTTTCATGTAATAGAGCGTTTTCACGTGACGTCATCAAATTCTTAAATCCAAAACTAAAGAGCCACCAAAGTTTTTATCCTCATCAGGCATTAGAGGGACTAATTTTACATCTGTTGACAACTTTTCAGCTCAATAGCGTTCATCGTTTGGAAACCAACGCATTTTGAATTTCAGAGTTATGACGGTGCGTGAGATAAAGCTACGATCGCGTTTGTCGAAAAAAATGTATTTTTGTCGTGATTTTTAGCCATTTAAGACGTTAAAGTATTTGGAAAAGTGCTGATTTAAATGTTTGTTGGTGCAGTGCAGTTAATCAGTGTCCTAGATAGCCAAAGTAAGTTCCAGATGTTAACACTATTTTCGGGCCGCCATATTAATGTACCACAGTGGAACACCAACATGGCGGCTCCATGCTAGGCTCTGTAAATTTTTTCGCGGAACATTTCGACGAATATCTCAACTTTGGGACAACGCACACACCTTAAACTTGGAGAACTGTCTTCTTTATTTATTCTCTCTAATAACACAATATCTTGACTTTATCCACTGAATGGTTTTTAATTTTATTTTTTATTGCGTGACAGTGAAAACGCTCTATAAGCTTAAATGATTTCGCACAAAATTACACAAAGTTACTAACAGGAGACCGAACAATTATTATCATGAATAACGTTTGACATTGCTTGAAAAATGACCGGAACCTATTAGGAACCCGTTAGGATGACTAATGATGACGAGTCCTAACTTTAAGAACTTAAATGAGGGCACAGGATCTTGTTTTAGCCCTACGCTCAGTTGGGTTCATTGAAAATTCCGAAAAAGAAGTTTATAATGCATGTGTATAAATTCGCTTTAAACTCGATTTAAACTCGATCATTAACCTATTGTAGTAGTAAAGAGCCTGAACAATTCAGCATTGCGCCCGTTTGCTTTGGTTATTATCCGGGAACTCTATCTTTCATTGAAAAACGTCAGAGCTGGGCGAGAGGCCTCATTACACAGACGCGTGGGCAATGGGCAGTCAAAAAAAATCTTTTACTAGCACCTGCGCAAAATTTCATATCGGGGAGGACTGAAAATAGCTATATAGTCGGCAGTGAGGAAGACCTTTTAATTTCTTTATTTTAGTGAGGGAACATTTTGATCATGATCGAGTGCTCTCAAGTGGTATGGTTTCACCTGTTTTTGGCCATTAATTAAATTTCTGTTATAAATGTGCGGGCCTACCCACGCAAGAAAGTTTATATTAAGATGGCATTTTGCATTTTACTTGCATTTTTCATACCTGTCCATAGAAGTCTTCATTTTCAACAGAAAACACAGCAGTTGAACGATCTTGCGAAATCTCTCAATCGGCTGTAAGAAAAGAGACAGGAATTATGAAGAAAAGTTGACGAGAATCTCGGCTTGGAGGCTTTTGTTAAATCATTGCTAGAGCGAACACTAGAGGAAATTTACATTTGATAATATCAATAAATCAGTGGGTTTTCTTCTTTAGTCACGCAGGGTTTCTAAAAGAAATAAAAACCTTTTCTTCAAGTTTGTGTCGAGTTAGAGAAAAACTTAAACTGTGAAAATACTCGCCTCCCAGAGCTTCGTTACTCGTACTCTCAACCTTCCATTCGTGATTCTATATATACCGTTTTTATATTCTATATATACCGTTTTTATATTCTATATATAACGTTTTTTTACCTTCACTGTCTATGACTCGATCGAAACAGGGAAATTGTTTTTTTCTAAAAATGCAAGTAAATGTTGCTTTTATTACAGTGTTTCCGCCGATCTGACAGTGCCTCAGACACCAGAAAATAGCTTTTTCCCGTCCTTGCTATTGACATGGTAATGTAAATGCTTCGGCTATTATCATATATCAGGCGAAGCCCTTTGCTTTGCAGTGGATTACGTTTGCAAACATTCTGATAAAGAATTAACTAACGATTTAATTATTTGACGACACAGAACAGTGCTTTCTTATCAATCTGAATGAAAAGGTAAAAGAAACTGCCATCAAGCGCAATTTACAAATTTAATAATATTACATATCAAAGTTTCCTTCAGTAAAGCTATAGCTCAGAAAGCCTAGAAGAGGTTCTTTCTAGAACCCTTGCAAACGAAATATTTGTGGTCGCACATATTCATTGTCCGATTTCGTCAGCTGTCTTTAGCACAGACAGAAGGTATCCACACCGTTTGCAATGCAATTGACTGAGATGTCAGATTAAAATAGGAACGGTAACTGACAATCAGTGCACACCGACGAATCCAAGAGAGTAATTTTGCTTGCAACAATGCGTGAATCGACGTCCTCAATCACTGCAGGAATAATGGACATCGTTCGAATGGCCGACACGCGATTTTGAATGTACACAGTGGACCGTAACTGAAAATAAGTGTCACGAAATATAACTTACCATCGGCTTTGGAGATCCGTCGTCTTCTATTGTACTCTCTTTTTCAACCGACTCGTGTACCTCAATTGCGGGTAATACTGTTTCAGTTACTTCAGTGCCTGAAACTACATTATCTTCGTTCGAATTACGTCTGGCTTTCCTTCGACAAGCGTTTTTTGCTTTACGTGTTGAATTTTGCGAAGGAAGTCTACCATCGCCGTTCATGGGCACTACACCATCTTCAGCCGAGTCGGCTGAAGCATTACTTAAAGCTCGTTTCCTTATATTGTTAACCGAGAGAAAATTTTCCAAGTAACTCGCTGGAAGAGAGGCACGTCTTGGCATCGCTTTCCCCTTCTTTAAACTTTGATTAGGGAGCCATTTTTGCTCTTGTTTGGTCTTCGGTGGGGTTTTCTGTGACCCGATGTTTACAGCAACCAGCTTTTCAAATCCAACCGATTCAGAAGAAATTGTTTTTCTAAGCTTTAAATTTCCTTGTTCGACGTCGTCACCGAGTACTGGAAGATTTTGAAGTTCAGAAAAATTGCGAGGAAAGTTAATTAAATTTGCCTTTTGACTTGACTCTCCGTCTTTTTGAGTTAGAGGCCCATTTGAGTTTTTGGGAAGTTGAATCACGGCATGAGACCGTTTGCTGTCTTCATATGGAGACTCTTGGAGGTTAGAGGGATTAGGCTTTTCAGACTGGCTTCTAATGTAAGATGCTCTGGGATATGTCACATTCCAACACTCCTTGATCAGTCTGCTGTCCGTTGCTTTACTGCCCAACATGTTCGCCATTCGTCGGTAGCTGTATCGTGTTGTCAGTATGGATCTGTGGGTCGTCAGTCAAATTGCAAATCTCTGTATTCTACACAGCCCCATATTTTGTTCGAAACCTTTGCGTTTTCACTCTTCCACAGTTTTTGCAGGGGATTCAGTCTCCCATATTACGACTGTTGCCAGCAGAACACCAATCAATTAACCACTTTCCACTCGTCAACTTCGTGTTGCGTGGCAATATTTTATGTCCGCGTAGAAAATAGCATCCGCTAGGTCTGTACTTATGAACTGACAATTTACGAGGCTTTAAATTGGCTTCCGAATTAACCTCAGTTAACCAAATCGTTAAAAGAAGACAACCGCAAAGTCAACGAAAAACTCCACCATGGCGACTTACCAGTCTTACTAGACTTATCTTTGCCGTGGAATTTAACCTAATGTAAATTCACGAGATCAACCGTGTAAATACAATCAGAACTGCAGGACTCGTTTGCATCAAAATGCACTGTCCATAACCTTTTAAACAAAGGATCGGACCTTCTTAAACAAACAAACCAACATATTTCACCACAGATGTCAAGCTTTCTAAGGAAATTGTTTCTAAATATAACCAAAAGATTGGCGTTTTCAGGTCAATAGGATACATTAATGGCATCTAAATTACGGTTCTTAGTGATCTAGAGCCGATAATTAATAACTGACATGGGATCGGGTGTGAGTTATTTGTTTTCGTCATAACGGTATGGAAATTTGTTTGCTCTACCGCAAAAAAAAATAGTTTCATTTATTTTTTTTCTTCCCCGCTTTATTATACATTTAGTAAGCTGTCCTTGACGTTTGGTCTCAAGTCGCCCTAAATGCGTACCTCGATGACCTGTTTATGTTATTTGGGCCATTGAAAAATGTTATGTTTGTTGTTTTGGCTTATTTATTTATTCAAAACTGACGAGGCACTTAAAGCGTGAAGAAAGATATCACTTGCGCAACACCCGATATCAGACTGAGGAATTTGTTATAGGATATATATTACCCTGATGGTCCCATATTTTTGATATTTGACTTGCTGAATCTACAGCTCTTAGCTTCATTGTTCCAAAAGGTGGTAACAAGTGACACCATTGTTTTGAAGGGCACTTAAAATGAACCCCTCGATTTGCTATGCGGGGTTCCTTCTTTATGTTCTGACCTATAACAATTAAATTCGAGCATTGAGCTGTGAAATTGGACTGCCATGACGCCGCTGGGGTTAACTTTTTCATCATATATCTCTTTTCGCATTTTAAAAGCTCGTAATTTAATATCACAAAAAAAAATACTGTAAACCACAGAAGATCTTACCTCATCATTCTTTCCGTAAACTCCACGCTGCAGATCTATTTTTAACGTAAGAGGGACTTTTTTTTCACTTTAGACCAGTTGCCGTCTTGGAAAACGACATCGAGAAAGCCCTGGAGATAAGTTAGTCTGCGTGTTTGCGCGGGCGAGCTGCTACGTCACAGTGTCAATAGAGGCAATTGAAGATCGGTGACACGCGAGTAGTCGCAATTCGAAATGATAGTGCTAGCTATAAGTCGAATCTGCTAAACATGTAAAATTGTTTCCAGACCAGTTGAGTGGGCTTCAAAACAGTTTGTAGGCGACGAGTTCCGCAAGAGCTTCAATTATCCCTTCAATTACCCCAGGTCACGTTTCCGTTCACGTAATAAAGGATGACTCATCATTGCGGGAAATGACGTACCTTCGTACGTTCGTAATAGCGTAATTAAATGTGGTCTAGACATATCACTATTTGTATATTTTTGCATGACTTTGTTACGTACTATTTAACTTCCAATACTAACCTGCTCATTAACGTGAAAAAATATTCAGTAACTAAAGAACAAACGAGCACTCTGTAAATGGCTACATCGCAAAATGTAGACAAAGGAAATTGGTCCATAATGGTAGAACCCCTACTTGAGGGCGGAGTACTTTGGTACCTAATTAAGTATAGAGCTAGCAGAGGGGAAGGGGGCACAACCCCGTTCCTGGGGTCTCTCATCTTGCGGCCCTCCCNGGGGGGGGGGGAGGACGGTGCGCGCTGCTCAGCCATTACTCACCTCCTCCGACATTGTGTCTTTTATGCGGAACGACATTCTACGATACGAGCCGAAGATTGACAGCTTACGGGTAATAACGGACCGATCAAACTCCTCCTCTTTCTTCTTCTTCTCCTTCTCTTTCGCCACTTCTTTCTCTCTCATTTGCTGGCGTTCCTTCTCTTCCTGTACTCTGGCCATTTTGTTGATTTCTCGGCTTAACTTCCTGGAAGACTCGCTCTTGGCATCCATCAATTTGCTGGCGACTCCGGAGAAAGATACTTGGCGCTGAAGGCGCCGCGGAGTCTTGCTGTCCGTGGAAAATACTGGGTTCGACTGTCGAAGATAAAGAATCTCAGTTAATACAATGACATGGAGCCCAGTTGAAACGTCCACTTTTAGGTCAGGCCCAGTATTAACAGGGTAGGTTCAGATTACAATTCTAATCCCTTTGATACTAGCTACAAGCAGCGACATTTACTCTAGTGCTTCAGAAATTCCTTAGAGACCCACCTTAACATTATTTGTGACTTATCATAATTGATGGATTTTAATTTAAAATGACATATCATGACAGGTATAATTTAACTCTGTCNTTTTTTTTTTTTTTTTTTCACACATCGGAACAAAGGTCCTTTAAAGACAAGAGACATCGTCTCTTGGAAAAGAGTGAGCTAGACTATTTTTTGAAAAAACAGATGCTTTTAGTATGAACCAATGTGTATAATATAGTTATAAAAATAGGTTTCAAACGTGAAATCTTGATTACTGTTTTCTGGCTGCTCGAGTTCGATATAGAGAATTTTAAGCTTTTGAAATTTCTTGAGTGATGATGAAGAACAGGAAAAAACCCGTCTGTCTGAAAATATCGTATCTAAAACCAAAGTGGCAATCAATCTTTCACAGCCGCTAGCTCAAGTAAAACATTCTGTACTAAAAATGGTGACGATTCCTTCCAGTTTTGAAGGACTCTCTATCAGTTTTTCTGTTGCCACTTTTATATTTCTGTTGGTTATAGCTTTTTTTGCTCGCCTGTCTCCACTAAGACGTAGTCATTAGAACTATACTCCGCTCGAGGGTCGATTATACATGTGATTTCAGTCTTATTGATAAGACTTGAATTTAACGATAACTGCAGAAATTCTCGCGCTTTCATTTGCTAATTTTCATTGTCAATAAGTGGACAGACACATGAATTTATAATTTATTCGATGCGTCAACGAGCGAGAGCGGACAATTTCACAATTTGTTATTGTAAAAAACAAATTGACTTCAGTTTTTCATGTCCTGTTATTAACAATGAATTTCGTCACAATATCGTCAAAGTAGTCTGCGGTCCAGACAGAGCCGCCTGAAAAACTGACGTCAATTTGCATTGGGTAACTGTTTCATTGTTTTTGGTTGCCTGAAGCAAAGCTGTACTGACATGCGCATTATACCATCTTACAGACTAGTTGTTAACTGGAAAATTACATCTTCTCATTCTAATTAACTCTTAACTGGAACTTTTAAAAACGACAATTGATGAAGTTGAAGATAACAGGATTTTATCCTTAATAATTCTTTTTCTTTTCCCTCTATCATTTTCATTACTTTTGACCATGTTAGAGAATGCAACCAGTACTCTATAAAAATATCGAGATCATAACCTAATTGTGAAATAGATACAGTGATATAACGGCCTGATCGATCATGTTTATGGTTAAAAACTGGAAATTCAGTCTTAAAGCAAATCGTGACAGCATCACGCGTTAAATAAATGAAAATTTAATAAACTTGGCGCTCTGACGACTTAAAAACATTCAGTAACTGACATAAACGCGACAGGTTAAACTAAAATGTGAATATTAACGAAACCATGTTTGTTTATATATTAGCAGTGATGTTGGCAACGCGTTTTATAGTGCCTTTTAACCGTATGTCGTGTTTCTTTCAATTACCCGTTCCAGAATTGCTTTTATGAAGTTTTCAAAACGTAACAACCTCAGTAAAATGAAACTAATCAAAGAGAAGTATATACCTGTGTTGAAGTCGACATATTTAAGTAATGTTTGAAGATTGTCGAGACATTGGCAAAACGTGTTTCCTACTGACTTGTAGGATATGAGCAGTCTCTCTTTGCTACAGCTGCGGATTTCTTAAGTGACACTGAGAAATTCAAAATGAAAACTTTGTGAGTAAAGTAGTGTAGCGCTATTCATATAAACTTTGAATTTCCTTGTCGGAATTTGTTCGTTGTCTAACCATTCTAATGTGCAATACAACAGTTGTATTACCCGATGATTTTATGTCATACTTATTAACCGTAGAAGAGATTTCACTAACCTGCCTACCATCCAACAGAGTTTGCGACAGGGTATACTTTCTCTTTCTTAACATAAACATCATGAAACTGCGAGAAATACAGCTGTATTGCCAAATGATCGGCCGCGAGCGCCCTACGTTTTTGTTTGTTCTCTGTGTGTCAATGAACTGACGTGTTGTCAACAGCGGCGAGCTCAACAACAAAACAAAGTAGTCTTCATAAACCGTATCTAATCCCTGCCTATTAAATAAGCCGCTATGCCTGTATAGAGTCATCTACTGGCTTATCATGAAGTGAAATAAAATGCAATAACACTCGAAAGCGAAAAACAGGAAAACAAGGAAAAATACGGATTCTTCATTTTGTGCAAAGAGGAAACCTTCGGTTCAACTTATCTGCTTGTACTTGACGGAATTTCCTTCCATACTTTATTTTTTCTGCATTTAGGTTGTCCACCACAATTGAGTCTAATTATTTCCTCGATTGTTTCTTAAATATTAATTTGGGCATCTTATTTAATGGAGGTAATTTTTGCAGTATATAAAACCCAAGGTTATTCTTAAGAACTAACACAAAATACTTGAATACAAATCTAGACCTTAAGTAATTTCGATTCGACTACTCTAAAGTTGAGCTCTTTAGAGTGGACGAGAGCATTGATTGGCTATCGAAATGGCAAGAGACTTCAAAGAAAATGCATTGTGCCAACAACAACACACCACTAATTATAACAAATGGAAATTTTCTCTCACTGACGAGCTTTCATGAAAAACCATTTCATACTCGGTAATCTCTATCAGAGGGCAAATAGCAGTATGCTGTAAGGAAAAACTGGGTCTTAATTCAGAGACGAAAAGTAAAATGTCTTTATTTATTTTGTTCCTCAAACTCAACAACAACATAAACATAACTCATTGTCTTTATCTCTAAGTGTGTTGGAATCGGTATAACTTCCTTCATCACTTGCTTTAGACCAAAAGGTTCTCGACGAGATCGGTTAATTTCTGATTATCGAAAAAGCACAATTCAAGTCTCACACCCCTCTTTGTTAGGACTACTCTCTTAATGACACTTCTCCTTCCCTCCAAAACCTCCCCCTGTCTCGCCACCTCCGTGCCCTCCAAAGACAATCCTCAAAGACAATTATGACGATTAGACAATGAGTTTAGAAATATCCATTCAACCACAAATGTTTCGGTTACTTTGTATAGTAAGATTTTGAGTGAGATGTGTTTAAAAGATAGATAACCCACATCTATTCTCTAGTCTTATAATTAAATATGATTACCTTTGCAGGAGCTTAACAGAGCTTTAAACGTACTTAGTCTAAGCTCGCAATTACGAGGGTAACTTTGATGCATGAAAACTGCTTTCCTAGCATGCACCGAGCGAAAGCTAAGAGGAGAGAAGAAAGAAGATTGCATTGAGGCTAAGGGGTGAAAAAATAAAGGATTTCTTTGCTTTATTCCGTAGTAGAATATTATTAATTCATTCCTTGCCCTCGATGAGTTCCTTTAACATTTGTTAGCTCGTTTAGAAAAGATATAATTAAAGACAGTATACCTTCACATTGTCGGCTATAAGCGTCCACCGTGTACTTCGTCTCGTCCACAGTGACATTGTCTTCTTAGGAATTTGTTTTCGTCCGTGAATGTTAGTCATGGTGGCAACAGAGTGATGCCTCTCTCTCTCCTCTGGAACGCTAGGAAGTGTCATGATCCTTTTTGCCGCTGTAAGAAAGTAGACTGATGATATCGTCTGAATTCATAACTACAGTTATAATCAATACAATATTTTCGCTAGTGCGCGGCTGATCTATACGCGTCACGTGACTCGGAATATACCCCAGCTAAAACTGGAGAATATCCGAATGATATTCTCAATTTACAAAACTGCTCACGCTGAGAAAAATATTTGAAGAAAAATCTGAACACAATGGTCTCCATTTTGCGCGAAAACATGCCTAGCGGATATGTGTCCTTGGACATTATCTGTTCCTCAAAGCTGATAGTTTTCTTCAAGCTACACTCTTGGATAACTGGTCGCTTCTCGGAACAGATAATGTCCGTGGACAAATATCTATAAAGCATATTTTCAATGCCAAATGGAGGCTATTGTTTATATATGCAACGAAACATAACACCCCTGACTCACCTAGAATCGTTATATAACAACGTAACCGCAGCATGGGACATCAAATGTTTGAAACGGTGAAAGTTTTGTGGAAGTTTTGAAAAAGACCGCGGCAGAAAACCTAGATTCAGAATAATCTGCCAAATTAAGCATGACAAATCGTTATCCGTTGGGCCATACCAACAAGTGGTCCGACAATCTTTGAAAACGACGTCAACTTTGCGTTTTCGTGAACAGGAGTTCAAAATTTAAAAAAAGATCTATAAACTCCTCTCGGTCTCAGTCGACTTTGATAGTTGGTTCGTGCCTTCGTCCTAGAAACCTCGAGCTCACTGCCTAATTGTCAAGCAATAGTGTTTTATTTTAATATCTACATTAAAATGCACATGTTCCAAAAGTAATTGCTCAACGGCGCACAACAGTCATAACATTAAATATGACTATGCCGGGGAGGGGTACTCCGAGCTTATGTAAGCTATATAGCTATCGATGAAACTAAATTAAAGGGTATAGTTTTTGAACTATTTCAGTTTGAGTCTGGTGCGAAATACGCTCTTAGAGCTCAGTTCCGAAATTGAGCTCGCTGGCTAGAGGAAACTAAATTTTCCGCAATAAATCGAGCACCTATCTCTAGCCAAACGTAAATGCTTACGCAACTCAAAGCTACTCAGGTCATGGCGTTAGAGAATTGTACTTATTTCAGCGGTCCGAAATAGAGTATCACTTTTTGGGTCAGGTCTGAAAATAATTAATAGTGTAAGGGATATTACATATTTTGATCTATAATTTCAAGAAATACGTCGCACAAAATTTTTGGCGCGTAGTTCTCCGGTTATTACTTTAGTGATATTGTAACTCGACTGCAAGCCCCAACATAAAACAAGTCTTGTGGCTTCTTGCAAGCAGCTACCAATTTTCCCCGTATGTATGATTCGTGATTTCTGCTCTACTAGGCTAACTTTGCTAAATGGGGCAGTTTCTTACCGTTAAGCAAGTTCCACGGATTCTCGTGAAGTAAATTCCTTTCTTGAAACATTTTACTGTTATTTTCAGGGCTATATTCAAAACTGAAGCTCGCAGAGAAAACTCTCCCGTTTCAATGATAACAAACTGATACCATATTGGTATTATAAACTGAAGTGGTCTTTGGAAAGTTGCTTGTGCGCCACAAGTTCTAAGAAATGTATCTGAAAGATATTGGCTGTCGATTTCATTACTATCATGAATCAGCAGTTTGTTAAAATTAGAACTGACAGTAATGATATTAATCAAGTTGCCCGTAAAGTATGTTTTCATAATAATGCTCTACGGTTATATATCTTACATGCTGCACTGTGGCCAGAAATAAATCTTAACTGAATTAAATTGTCACAAGACTTCATTCGGCTTAAAACCACAAGCACTTGAACAAGGTAATATTGAAATGTGGTTGCCATCAAAGCAGATTATATTGATCAGCAATATTAGCTCGTTAGTTCTCAATTAGCAATGCACGGGAATGCGGTGAGTAGATCGATTTGCTAGTTATATAATACCAGTTTAAGACGATGAATGCTTCAAACTTACGCAGACATTAATTATAAGAACGAGTAACATGCACAAAAAACCTCAACAGTTTGAAAAATTCCGTCCACGATCTGAACAAGACTCCGCGCGAAATTTTATGCATCAGTTTTTTTGGCTTATATTCCATTGCATAAACTGGTTGCTTAATGCGATATTCACTAAAGCAGAAAAGTTTCGAGAATGTTTTCTGTTCTGGTACCAGCCATAAATAATTCCAGACAAAGTATCACGATTTGCCAAGATAATTTTGTATTTAATGTTTGACTGATCTGACAAACAAGACGGTCCTGTAGGCAGTCATGATGAGGAAAACAAGTGCTTAATCCTTCCTTAGAAACAAGAAAAATTCCAAAAGACTTAGCGAGCCGGTTTTACTCCGCGATCGATTGATCCGTTGTCAAAATAAATCATGTTTTGAAGTGGCTATAAGGAAATTCCTGGTTTTGTCCCCCAAAATACCCGGGAGACGATAACAAATTTAAAGTGGTGCGTGGGTACTTAAAACAAGACGATCGATTTAGTAACCCGCGTGATCTTGTCGTTAAGTGAGAAATTAGTCATTTACCTTCGACCTGGCCTTTGAAAACGTAATTCGTTGACAAAGTATGAACTTTATGCATCTTGTTTTCTTTCTTTTTCTTCTCTTGTTATAAAATTCTTGGGGTCAGCTAAGTAGTTCACTTATCGTGTACCCATCTCTGTAGCTGTTTCACCTGTTTTGCTGATAAAAGAACTTCTTTCACTTGGGATTTAGCCTAACAACACATGTGTTTAGTTTATGTGCGTGGAGTAAAAGAATCATTTGTGATTTCAATTTACATCATTGAAGTAATTCCTAAGGGAAATAAAACGGAATTTAAAATGGAAATAGAGCGGCTATGGATATAATGGGGCTATGGAGGTGTGAAACTATAATAAACACTGCAGGATCGTACAATAAAAATTAGAGAACTGTGTCAGACCATGACAAAGTCCTTATCCTTGGTCCGAGAAATCCCGAGATGTTTCTTTTTAAAGCTCGATTGAGCAATTTATCAACACAAGCACAATCTGCTTAAAAGGTTCTTCCTATTATAGTTTGTACCATTGTTTATTCTTCATGGAAGACTTGAGTATCAACATTGTCGTTCAGTTCAAAACATAGCTGAGTGAAAGCAAAAACTTTTTTGATTAATCTCAATCCCGCGATTTCGCAAAAGCTTAGGGAGAAAAAAAAAATAGAGGTTCTATTACTACATTCTCATTTCATGATTGTCGAAATGAAACTAGTTATCATGTTGGATTATAACACATTGGAATACAAGTATTTTTAAAAGCAAGGCCATTAGTTCTCACTGGGGGGTTATTGTTCCAATAAGCAACCAATATAACTTTGGTTCACAATCACTTTGTTTTCTCAACATCTAATCGCACGGTTCTTAATTGCATGCTACAAGATCTGAAAACGGTACATAATCTTAAAATACCTTGTGTTTTAATCGGTAGTATATTTTTTTTTCTTTAACTGGGTCTTTTTTTGTAGTAGAACTACAAAGAAAAGAGCCGAGGGCGTGGGTAGTTCTTCATTGAGCCCAAGAAAAGGGAACGAACCATGAGAACACGATTAGAAGAATCGTAGAATCGCCACTTTCTTCGAAGAGTCTTCGCACGTTGATAAACAACATTGAACATTTGGGACGGTAAGCTGACTCCAGCAAAGCGTACACTTTGCTGGAGTCATAAAGATAGGGTGGGGCAACGCTATCGGACACTTTCGATTGGTTCACGAAAAGTGTTCACAAGCTCTGTGACTTCTTTTAATGAGACACATGAACCGTTGTAATGAATTCAATCTGACGCTAAACCACAACTTCGTTCCCAGGGTTTCTTATCTTCCCGCCCTCCCGGAGTGAGAGAGGAGAAGGGCGGGAATAAAGATGAGAGATCCTGGGAACGAGGTTGGCAAAACCAATGATGAGGCTCAGCGCATTCAACATTGTTCTGACATTTTCCCACACATGACACCAAATGCAAGCTGTCTTCGCTTTTTGCCACTAGCAATTGGTAAGCTGGGGGAGGGAGGGGGGAAGGGCTAACTTAATTAAGAACAACGTTAGATTACAGGGAAATCTGTGGATGAGCTGTTACTTTAACTGTTTTATTTATGAAAAAATTTGTTCGACATTACAAACTAAAAATTCTATGGTTCAGCAACTGCTGACTGCATCCTATTAAACTGCCCTGAGAAAATTTAATTACAAATTAAGTTAACAAACTCATAATTACAAATGATAATTTCCTGAAAGCTTGCAAAAAGCGGGCTGTATTGTGCAAACCTGAGTGGTCACTGCTGCGTTAGGTCGGTGAGTTACACTTGAGCAAATGTACGGCGTTGTCAACTTTGGAAAATTCAAGACCTGATCTTTAAACATTTAGCAGGCCTTATGTTAAAAATGAGACAAAATTGAGACAAAAAATGTCCCCTTTCTCCAAGTCCGTGACGTGCTTCTTAAAAAAGCACTATTCTATGGCTCTTTCTTCAAGTTACAAAGCTATTGAAATTTACTTAAAATAACATATACAACACCAAATAACATTACATATATACATATACACTACCAAAAGTAATAACATACTCTAGATTTACAAATTCAATAGACTTTCTAAACTTTTTCAGCCTTTCTCAAACGTCACATTGAAGTCATCTGGAGTTTGGTGTTTCTTGCGCATAATTCACATGTTTAAGTTGCTCCAAGACATATCCCACGGCCTGAAATATGAAGAAAAAATACTAATGGAACTGTGAAACAGATATTACATGATTCCGGTAAAATGACTTTGAGAAACGCCGGTTTAGGAACCGGGCCGAGTTGTTCGGAAGCCAGTTAACGCGAGCCCAGCTAGGATTAAAAGTCAACCGAAGAGTTCATTTTTCTTGTATAAAAATGTTTTTCACTGCTTATGTTTTGTGTAGTTTGAGGTTATTCAGAGTAAAACCTGAAGGACAAACAATGTAAATAGAAAACCTCACCGCAAAGTTACACTGAAAACTGGAATTTTCACAACCTGGTCTAGATTCTTAATTTTAACCACCACATTAAATTGAACTATTTGACGTTTTGAGGGTTGTCCCTTGGTCAGAGTAAATTAGGATTCTAAGTTCTTTTTCGGTTCTTTCTACACTACCCAGTTTATGAGGCGATTCTGATTTCATCATCACATTAATCGCTTTCTTCTTAGAGACCTTAGAAGTCAGTGAAAAACTAGACTGCTTGGTTCTACTCACCGCTCAGTTGTAGATGGTCTTCCCCGGGCTCCTTTGTAGTCGTGAGAGTACTCGGTCTGCCAATGAAGAGCGGGAGTCTGAGCTAAAAACAACAAGATGACAAACTATTAAGTTCTTTTAAAACCTGCGCAAACACCAGCAACTCAAAAACGTTACTGGTGCGGTCGTTAAAAAGACAAGCCTAAAGAGCTTTTTTGCCTGACTTTTTCCTCAAAGACTCTGAATCGAAATGTTACTACTTCTTATTTTTGAGCCGCTTCACGATAAATTAGTGGAAACTGAAATTACTTCTTTACAAAAATTGTACGCCCCGCTTACCTTTTGAGTTCGGTCTAAAGCGATCTGTTTTCCACGCGGTCCTTGGTTTGTAGTTCGGAAGTTCTGAAAGAACAAGATGACATTTTACACCTTGCGCTACTTGCAGATCTTTTGGATCACTCAACTTCACGTATACCCTGGAATATACCTCCCGCCTTTTTCTAACCAATGTACCAATCTAGCTCGTAGCTCAAGTCTTCGTTCAAGCCCTCATGTTACTGCGCATGCTTGATGAAAGAGCAGCAGTTCTCGAGAGTTCCGCTGGAGGATCGATTTTAGACTGTGAGCAGTCCCTCTTTTGCTCAAGAACGCAAAGAAGAACACAACACTGAGTGAGCGACCGTGAGCATGCGAGCGTGACATCCCGGCTCGCGGTTTCGCCGCTTGAATATCACACTACTAATCACGCTCGCACGGTCACTTGTTTTGCGTTCTTTCCGACGGATTAACGAGCAAACCGAGAGAGACTGTTCGCAGTCTAGATCGATCTTATTGGCCTTACTAGCAATAAAAAACCGTGGGCCATGGAGCTTGATGTGTTTCACTGGCCATTCGCAATTCAACTAGAAGACTTTCAATCGGAACTCTCCAGAGTCGCTCGCATCCCGAACGCTGGTCAAAGGTAGCGAAGGCTCGGCATACTAGTTTGCACGGAACATACATGAATTTCACGGATTTTTACAGCTGTGCAGCATAGCTGCTGCATACCTACCGAGCGGTCTAGCGTTGAAGACGGTGTTGTAAGTCGTTGAAAACCAGCGGCTTTTGTTGTGTTGTAGAATGTTAGGTGCTGACTGTGAATCCCGGATGGGCGGGAGATTTAGGGACGGATTGTTCTTCCACACTAAGTAAGCCTGAAGAAAAGCAAAATATCCGTTGTAGAAAAAGTGTTGGTAGCCCTGCCTTAAGAGAGCTTCCTCACAGGTTATTGTTTGATTGGCGCCTGTGGGTAGGTACACGTTTGGGTCACACGCATGGATGGTGAAGCCACGAGGAGAGTCACTGAGTGCAGAGTGCAAATGAATTATATTGTCAGTTACCACAACAATTCAGTCATAGTCAATACCAGAAGCTTATTACCTTGAACAAGGTGATAAGCTTTTGTCAATACATAATGTAAATACTTTTACACTTTAATTTAATTATTGCCTTCGATTGACCGCTTTCCCTGCGCAAAATTTATAACCAGTTTCCCGCGTTTACGAGTCTAAAAAGGCGTTTTAGTCGCAAAAACGAGCGGATAATTTTGAATATCAGTGCTTAAAGAGTTGCTGGATTATCCGCATTATTACACGACATATGAAAAAGAAATCGCCGGAAAAGTGATCTATCCACAATAAACGGAAGTAAACAATAGTAATTTAGCATCCTTTTCCGATCTTTTTTCATGAGCTCCGAGGAAAGCCAGAGCCTGAGGCACCAACATAGGTTTAGCGGGATGCGGAATGAAAATTAGAAAATCAATTAAAAAATGAAGGGCGTTACGCAGAAAACTGCGACTAAAACTAGGCGGGCGGATGGGTCGGGACAAGAGAATACAAGTATCACAATCTCTTGACCGGGATTGAGCCAAAATAGCGAAGGGATGCGGCATTGAAAAAGCCTGTGTTGGACCCTCTGATACTTCGGTAACATGCTGATACATTACCTTGTCTGGATACTGCCATGGGTCGGTTAATGCCGCGTGTGGATTGTTTTTCCGATGTACTGAGGAAGGTTGTACATTATGACGACAGTATCTCAGCTGAGGAGTTCTGAAGGTGGACATGTAATGGCTTGACTCGAAAGGCCAGCCGGATGGAAGATGTTCAGCGGTGCTCATTCTAAAAAAAAAAAATGAAAATCTTTCAGTGAAATTTAAAAAGAAAGAATAGCCCAACGCATATAGACCATTCTGGATAGGTAACGCTCCTCGAACGCGCGCGAGGCGAGCGCGTGTTGCGCGTGGCGGCATGTACCTCAAAGTTCTTCGAGCGAGAATCGGCAAAAGTTTTGTAATGGCAGTATCAAGAATTAGGGTTGCTCGTCAGGTCCGCGGTGCAGAAGATTGTAGTGAGAACCATTAATTTTAATTCGCCTCCTCTTGTCCCCGTTCTTGCCGCCTAAGCGCAGATCAATCATGAAAGTTGTCAACTGTGCGATTATGCGCTTCATGGAATTCGGCAAACATAATTAGTGAACAAAATTCCTTTTTTGTTTCTTTCTTCTTCTCAAGACCAAAATCAGTTCCACAAAAACAAACTACCGCTATCTTGTTCTCACTGCGACTTAAGGAAGCGCTGCAATCACGCACGTCCCAAAACATCTCAGAACGTTTGATCGTGAGTGAGTTGATGTATTTAAGGGATCGGTCCATCGAAAGTATTTTAACCTGCCAGTTACCTTTGAGGATATGCTGGAGTTCCAGTGGCTCCAACATAATCTCTACTATATGTGGTCCATGGAAACTGTTTCTTTCTTATCCCAGACGCTAAAAGTAAATAACAAACAATCGATATAATTAGATGGATCAATTTACACTCGCTTGCAACAGACTTCCATCAGTCGCTCGTTTACATTAAGACGGCGAGCAAACGTTTTGAAATGTTACTGCAGCCCATGAGGACAGCACTAGTTAGATCACCGCTTACCTGTGGCTGGAGTTTCTGGTTCCGTTCCCCAGGGCGGATTTTTAACGTTGCTCTTTACCGGAGAAGTTATCTCTCTCTCTTCAGGCATTGTTGTTGTTCACTTGAAGAAGAAGCCGGAATTAAGTGGACAGCTGGATCGGTTTCCAAGGCCTTTAACTCGAGATGAAAAGGAAGCGATGTCTATTAAATGAGTCCTTCGGTGATCAGTAGACTTTCTCAGGCACGAACAAACGATCTTTTTGTACCGTGTTGTTGTCAATGCTGATCTTTTCAACAGAAAACTTATCAGTATTTGGCGATGGTCTCGGAGTAATTTATTCTTCAAATCCAACGATTAAACATGAAGGTTGCACCTCATTGGATAGTGGTTGCTAGGTAACTGGGTTCTTTTGTGCAAATTTCACGCTATGCACAGCGTGACCGCTGGAGTGAAAACTTGTTTTCTTCTTTACAGTCATTTTGTTGCTGTTTTGTTCTGCAGGAATTGTAATGGACGAGCTTTAGAATTCATTTATCAGAAGAAAATAGCAAAATTGCCGTATGTTATTTTGAGATCACGCCATTTATGTCACGCAATCTCATTCCCAGAGGTTGATCTGAGCCAGAAACATGACAGCGGCCGATCCCTGCAAATTCCAGTTGCGCGGAGCTGCACGGGCAGCTGCACGTCGTCGGAGACTCTGTTTCCGGGTAGGCTGTGAGCTTCGTAAATTAAAAGCTGAATCAAAGAAATGAGCGACACAAGATTTCGAAACCATTTTACGCAATCAATACTTTACTTTCTTGCAGTCGTTACTAGTTCAGACAGAGTCGTTCACACAGTAGAAGATGGCGTCACGGGGATTTCACGCAGCCACTGACTCGTCGCCAAACAGCTCGTGTCGTTCTTACCAGTCGATAAGTGGAACAGAGAGTCCAACTTTCTACTCTCCACGGTCACTTAGTCCCGACATTGAAATAATACAAAGAGGAGACGAAGTTTCTAGGGATGATGCACCGTTGATAACGCATGAAGACCACCATGGAAATAACCAAAGTGAACTTCCAATGTCTATCGTCTTCGCTGACAGTTCTTCGACTTCTTTTGAAGCTGAGGTTGTACCATTCTGGGAGCGTATGAGGTAAGTTTTTATATTTCTAGACCTAGAAACTGTTTTTGAAATTCAAGCTCTTACAAGTCTTACTTTTACGCATTTGCAGAGTAGCATTTTGCAATTTATTGTATACTTAACTTTTGTACATTTTATGAGCTGTTATGAAGACAGTTATTAAAGTAATCCCTCGCGGAATTGATGCATGTGTATTAGCAATCGAATGAAAAAAAAAATTGATATCACATGATTGTGTTTTGCAAACTAAGATTTGCAGAAATTATTTTGATGACAGTTTGTAATGAATTAGGAAAACACTACGTAGACTATGTGATAAATAATTAATATTACATGTACCTCATAATTCAATCAGTCTTTTCATTTCTTTAATTTGGGTCAACTTTGGAATTATCGGAGGTCCATGGGTGGTCTTTGGAGTAGTTTTCCTAGCAATAAATGAAAATTCCTAAACAAAAGTATAATTTCTGTAATTGGACATCGGTCTGTGTAAAAGTCTGACTGCGGACTTTGGTAAAATGCGGACGGCTGAGAGCAAAATACAGACTGTAGATCGGGGGTAAAATGCAGACAACAGACTCTGACTTTAACTGAATCATGTTACCATTTCCATCATTGAGAGCTAACCGTAAACAGGCTAACTGAAGCGTTATTTAGGCTAACCTGAGTGATGTTCAATCTAACTGGAGTGATTCTCAGGCTAACTGGTGTGCAGATTTTCACTCCGATTAGCATGAGAAACCCTGTTAATATGGTTAGCACTCGATCATGGAAATAGCACTGTCAACATATACTTGGTGCCTGTTTACAAGGAGGGAGGGTTACCCTAGTAAGTGGGTTAACCCTAGCTGGAGGGCAAAAGATAGCCCAGGTTTACAAGCAAAATTTCACAGGTAGAGTAACCCTACAACCCGGGACAACTTAATGCGCAGTTACACTCAAAGGGTCTGGAAACAACTGAAAAGTTAACCCGAGTAGGTGGTTTAACCCTACCCAGAGTGTTTACAAGGGAAAAAGTTAACCCGCCTACCCGGGTAACCCTAGCTGCCTTGTAAACATGACAAAGAAAAAAAGAGGAAATGTGTGAGTACTAGGGTAACCCGCTTGCTAGGGTAACCCTCCCTCCTTGTAAACATACCCTTAATAAGTCTGTAGTCTGTAGTCTGTAGTCTGTAGTCTACAGTAGTCTGTTGTCTGTATGTAGTCTGTAGTCTGTAGTCTGTAGTCTGCAGTCTGCAGTCTGCAGTCTGCAGTCTGCAGTCTGCAGTCTGCAGTCTGCTGTCTGCATTTTACTTCCAGTCTGCATCTGAATGCAGTCTGTGTTTTTCCCCTGGTCTGCAGTATGCATTTTACCCCCAGTCTGTGTTTTTACATTGACCAATTTGACAATTACCCCATCAGCCTTATCAATTATGTGTGCTTTAATGACTTCCTTCCTAATGTTTCCCCACTCACTTTCTCATTCAAAAGAAGTTCTTCAAGACTTTGTTATGTTTGGTACATGATTAATTAGTAACTGGGTCTAGTTTGGACATTATACAATTCATAGCTAGAGCAGTCTCATTCCCCTTGACCAGCGGCTGGAAAACGAGAGCTCTGGGAGCAACCGTTTTGAAATAACCGAATTCTGCCCATCCAGTTTCACTGCGCAGTCTGCATCTATGGCACACGCCTGAAATGGTTGCTCCTAGAGCTCTCATTTTCCAACCGCTGGTCAAGGGGAACGAAGACTCTGGGAACGAGATTGTAGCTAGAGTGATCATGCTCACAATTTGAATTACTCACTCTATTTCTTCCTGAATTGTTCAAACACCCAGTATAGTTACTATACCGGCCATTACTTGTTAACACATGTTTAAATTGAATATTTTAATTGAATTTATTGTGAATGACTAATACCCATCATTCATTTTTGTTACTTGATATTTATAATGTAAATTGCATAAATTAATGAAAACATGCAAAAATTTGTTTTTGTCAGCATGATACCATAGGATCCTTTCAGCAATTTGGTACAACTTCCTCTTTATTAAGTCTATTTCACAGATGTAAGGCAAGCCTGAAAGATACCCTAAGGGTTAAAACTAGGAGTGTCATACTATACGTCCTGAACACCCAAAGTGAGACCAAAATCCATGATTTGCATGTCTACTAAAGCCTGGTTCACACTTGTGAGATAAGCATAGCACAAGTGAAATAAGTACAAGCATAAGCACAAGAAAAAGAAACATGTTCCTTTTTTCTTGTGCTTGCATTTATGCTTATTTCACTTGTGTTATGCTTATGTCGGGCAGTACAGACGACTCAAACAATATCGAGAGCTCAATGAACACAGTCTTTATTCCTGAGCTTGACCATGAGGACTTCGTGTTACAACAACAACATGATCTGGGGAGCCCGGATGTAGTTTCCTTCAGGGAGGGCCTAGGTACAAGTGACAGGCCAACATCCCCCTTCTTTGAAAAAAAAAAAAATAGTAATAATAAATAAAACAGAATAAAGTAGGCAATGTTAGCCTTATATAAGATTCTGTTCTGACTGTTATCATGGAAGATTCAGCAACCGTGCTGTTATGCAGCGCAAACGTTAATGGCAGGCATGACTTGAGTTCAAAGTCTTTGAACCTAGTTGGTGGTTTGATGAGTCTTGTGTGTGTTCTCACTTCGGGTTGGTGATCCCTGGGCGGTTCTTGGATTGTAGCAAGGGGTGTGTCGGTAGGCGGCTCACTTTGGCCCGTGTCTGGTGTGCTGNTTCGTCCGGCATTGACGATCGGAGCGCTGATATTTCCAGTAACGGTTTCTTGTAGTAATCTGCTCTCTCTGTCTCGGGATTTTTCGCCAAGTTTCTGTAGTCGGCTTGGATACAGTAGTCATGGAATCTGAGTTCGAAGTTCTTGAAATTTTCTGACATATTCCCCCCGAGTTTCAATTCGGGTTGCTTGAGGTTCGCCATCACTGTTTGACGAGTCGGCTGTGGTCATTAAATTCGCTAAATGTACGTTTACTCTCCGTGAATGCTTCTCTTGTCGATTTATCAGATCGATCCCACTTCTGACACCATGTCGGGCGGTACAGACGACTCAAACAATATCGAGAGCTCAATGAACACAGTCTTTATTCCTGAGCTTGACCATGAGGACTTCGTGTTACAACAACAACATGATCTGGGGAGCCCGGATGTAGTTTCCCTCAGGGAGGGCCTAGGTACAAGTGACAGGCCAACACTTATCTCACAGGTGTGAACCAGGCTTAAGCGAGATGAAAAGCATCCACAACCTTTTTACCCTCCCCACCTTATCCCAGTACTGAACATATCTTCACATCACTGTGCAAATTAGCAAAATGTACACATGCAACCATGTAAGCAGAAAAAATGGTAAATTTCCATCCCATATATATGTATCCCTGTACAACCCTTGCAATATATGTATTGCTGCTGTTTGCTGTGTAAATTGTGTTCCTGTATGAAGTGTTGATGACAATGATTTTTTTTTTATTACTCTGACAGACACATGCCCAAGAAAATCAAACCTTGGTTTTTGTTCTTATTGGCTATTGCATTCTCAGTAAGTGAAGTAGTAAATAATTTTTTGGAACTGTTTTATGTTTTGGGAAAGAAAGCATCAATACCATTGCATGACTGAACAGCTGACAAGCAATCTATTTTCATTGTGTGTTTTTTTTTTTTTGACTAAAAGAGCAAATGCCCTTTATGCTATTGTTTACAAAAGGTACATGTATAATTTGTCAATACAATACAATACACAGTGAATTTTTCACTGTGTATTGCACTGTGTAGTGCATTGACCAGTAATGCATGCTACGTTTATGGCTATGTAGCCCTTATTACACACACAACATACTCTAGCCTGATCAAAAGGAACAAAGTTAAGTTGACTTTGAAATAGTTATTTTTTACTTGTTGCATTTGTAGTGACCAAATTTTTTGTGTGTCTCAACTTTAGGTACTTTTCGCTATTTGTGATGAAGCTCCTGAAACAGCCAGGCTTTTGTGTCTCTCACATAACATTGCAGAATGTATCCTTTCTTTTTTTTTCCCATTTCTTAATTGGTATTTAATACTAGTGCAAGTTAGGTAACCTTTTTATCCTCTTTGCCACATCACACTGCACAATTTTTCTAAAAGACATTTCCTTCAAATCCCCTTTGACAGATAGTGCCATATTCTCTTAAGACAGCCTTGTTTCCTTGATTTGTACCCCATTTTGTTTCTATGGCTAATACAGAGCCACTCCCTCAATTAGGGTGTTCACATACATGTAATTCTTAAAGTGCTACTATGATCAAATTTGTACCCCTTGAATTTTTAGGCTTAACACATAGAATTCCACAGAAGACTAAAAATGCCATTTACCATTGGCAAATATCTGCATTGGTTCTGGAGATATTTAAGTTTGAAAAATGTGTAAAATATGCAAATGAGATGACTGATGACTACACTCGACCAAAATGACATCTAGTGCGTGTATATATTAAATAATGCTATCTCACTCAATTTTCGACAGAAACCTTTGAAACTGTGTAGGCTAATAGTTCTACCTACAACACACCTGCAACTCTAAAAAGGTATGTTCCCATGGCAACCCACTCTTTTCCAGTCCCCTCCAACCTGATTTCAATCTTCTTAGTGATTTTCAGATTGAAAAACATTAAACAAGGCCACCTACTCAACCTAACTTTTTTATATGCTTGCTGGATCGTGCAGATGAGGCACCATCAGCAAATATGAATATGGAATGCTAAAAGTGACCAGAAAAGCCTTTAAGATCAGGGGGTCTGGAACCCAGTTTGTTGCCATGGTAACAAAAATGTGGAACACCTCTAGTGGAATCTTACTGCAATGAATCAAACATTTCTGATACAATTGGTTGAGATATCTTTGTTTATTATATTTGATCAACATTCAATTGTGTGTATGACATTCAATACTTGGCTAATTTGCATATTGTAAAAACTTGAATATCTCCAGAATGAAAACAGGTATTTGAAAATAGTAAAGAGCATTTTTCCTCTCACACAGACTTCTTGTCTATGTTTTAAAAATGCTTAGATTTAAAAGATGCGATTTTTGTCATGGTAGCACTTTAATTAAGGTTACCGTATACCTTCAGGGTGTCTTGCATCCGGCTATCAAACTATACCAAGAATTTTGAAATAAATGTGAGCGCCCGAATCACCTTTCAAAAGCTACAAGTCAAAGCGAATTTTGTTTTTCGCCAATTGAATTTTTTCCTTGGTTTCAGGGCCCAAAGAGCTTAAAACATGTGTCTGCGTTTTGGCATATTCAATTGCAGCAAAACGTTTCAGGACATTTTTGAAATAGGATTAAAAAAATCGCTCTCGAAGAAAAAGTATTTTGAAATTAACAATTCGCAGACACCTTTTTGTAGTTTATTTGTCAAACTAGCTACTGTCCAAATTTGAGGGCAATTGAACAAATTCCCTTTGGGTTATAACTCTTTAAAGTGTCTGCTTCAAGCAAAACAATTTATTCAAGAAAAGAGCGCTAAGAAAAATCTTCTGCTTCGCAAACAAACTCTGCCCACAAACGCCTTCAACTGGGTTCTCAGATGACTGAGCCAATCAGTGCAGGGAAAGTTTACACAATGTACTACCGTTAACCTCGTAGAAAAATTTACGCACTCCAAAACAAAATCTCCAAAACACCCTTGTGTTCCGCAACGCGCTCAGGGTGCCGAAGGCGGAGAGATAATTTTTCTGTAGCTCAGTTTTTCTTGAAGCTGGTCTGACAAAATGGGGAAGACTAAAAAGGATATGAATGCTAGTAAGAGTGGCTGGGCGAAGAAAACAAACAAAAGAAGGCTCGGCGGAGCAACTTTGTGTGGTTAACTGTGCATGGATAATATTTCAAATGGTCTCAATGAGTCCGACAATTCGACGATATCGGACTCATCAGAAGAGTCTCTGTCAACATCCCTGTTATTGCTGTCAAGTTCCAAAATTTTTACAGACCCTTTCTTTTCTCTTACCATGAATTTTTTGTCCACCTTATACGATAGCTATAGCTTCATCCATGTGGCGAACTTTTGCTCCTTCACTCATTGATGTATTTTCATTGTTTCTTCGCTGTTTTTGCTTCTTCAAACTGGTTCATGTTTTTAACATGGTCTATGTTTACTCATAACTTAATAGAGTTACACCTAATACCAGAAATGCTTGGTAGTCACAACAACAATGCTGATCAACTGAGTAGTCAATTCGTCACATCCGTACAGGTAATTCCCAAAAAATCATCTCGGTTGATTGCATATACGCCATAGGACTGTCAATCAAGAGGTAAACTTTTACTTCCGGTGAAAACGTAAAACCACCATTTCTCCACCAATTAGGGATTATTCTTGGACCACTACTTTGACCCATAAATCCAAATTTGAAGAAAATTGCTGACCCAAAGGTATACTGTAACCTTAAGAAAGGTTATAACTAATAAGTCTTCTTTCTAGCTCTTAACCTCGGTTTTTGTAACATAGAGTAGCTCTATGTAGCTCTCCTTCCTGGACGAGAGGTTTGTTTATCACAGTCTTACCCCTACCCAGCACCATATAGGTGAAACATGTACCTTCACCCAATACCACCAGCCTTTGAATTGAACCACACAAAGGATTCAGTTGTGACAGTTCAAGTGTCTGGACCTTTTATAGCAGGAGATGAATTTCCAGGTATCCATTATTTTATTATAATCCAATACATGTTTAAAATGAGCTCAGTCACTACAGTTTGAGCTATTATACACCAAAGAGACAAAAATAAACCATAAAGGAACAAGGATGGTCAAGGATGGAGAAGATTAACACAGATCACAAACAGAGAACTTAAAAAACTTAGGCTAAACTTTTTGAGATATCCAAACCATGATGTAGCTCCTTTAACGGTGTAAAATTCTAGTAACCAATGGCAGATGAATACTGAACTCTCTTTGCAAGCATGTAATAACAAAATATCTGTGTGTGTTATTAGATAGCCAGTCAGATCAAATTCTCACCATTGGCTTTGAAAGCAAGAATGGAAATGTAACTAGAGTTAGTGAGGTAGGTGGACTGCAAAGACACTTGTAATATGATATAATGTTTATTATAATTTTATTTTGAGTGACATGCATACTTCCATTGTAAGAGCTGATGCAAGATTTTGAGTAGGATTGATTAAAAATTAACATTCTGTTTACTGTCAGATGAGTTAAAGTCTCTGAGTTTTGACCTTTGTGCTTTATGATTTAAATATCTCGGTTGGTTTTATAGGTTTCAGCTAGAATTGGAATCAACTGTAGCTCGACCAGCTGTGAAGCACATGAAGATCCTATCACCATAGAAAAGAGACTAAATCTTTCACAAAAGGACAAGTAAGTAGTCTTAGTTAGATCCTAAGTTTTAGAGATATGTCATGTACATGACAGCTTCAGTCACAATCCAAGGAAATGTATCGTCTGGTGATATAGGCAAGTAATATTGCAGTGCATACAAACATCTACAGCTGTTAAGCCTAATGAGTGTATTGCCTCCCATCCCTACCCCCACCCCCACCTCTTCTCCAGCTGTCAGGCTGTATTACCAAGTTCTCAATAAATAACTGGCATAAATACAAACAAAGTGCTTACAGGTAATTTTTTCTTCTTCCTTTACTCTGACTGATTCCCATGCAGTGTTTTTTTTTTTTTTTTTTCAGGATACTGCTAGAGTTTCATATACTTGGAATAATTTTTTTCTCTTTACAGTATAACACATATGAGGTTGTTTTTTGCCTCAAGCACTTCATTTCCAATCGCAATTTCACTGAAGTACTATGTGGAGCCTTTTACAATAACTGATCAAGTAAGAACTTATATTGATTTTAGCTTCAAAATTGTTATTATTTATACCAGAAACCATACTTTTTTGCTATGCTTTAACTGCATAACTGGCAAGTTTGCTTGAGCCATGGTTGGTACTTTGGTGAGTTGTAGTTGAGAGAAAATACCCATGACAAGACCAAACAGGTGTTCTAGTTCAGTGTTTAAGTTCAATGTCCAAGTGTACCAAAAAGGTATGATTAGGTGTCTACTGTACGTAAATTTGGCCAGGTGACCATGACGTCTTAGCCATATCGGGTCAGTGACTTGATATCGTCGGGTAGGCAGGGCAGTAGACTTAATTTCAATTGGATAATTTTGAATATGGAAATTGTCATGATACTTGAAATTGGTGGCGATGGTGGGGAGTGGCAGAGGTTGGAGGGGGTTGGGGGGGGGAGAAGGTGTAAATAATTCATCTGGAGCCATGGCATATCATAGACTTGCTGATATTAGCTAAAAGTAGTTGTGCTTTTTGTGGTCAAATTAACCAACCTATGTAGGTGGGGAGAGAGTAAAATTTAACACTTAAGTACAGGGATGTAGTAAGGAGCCAGCCGTCAGCTGATTTCACAGGGATAGAGAGAGCTAATGACCAGAAATCTTCTTCTCAGAACCTGTGCATTTTCGGACACTGATGACCAAATGCCCCATGCCCTGTACAAATTCAGAAACTGGAGCCAGAAAATCTTAGTTTTGGTTTGATCGTGTGCATGTATAAAGTTCCTCAATATATGTTTCTGAACATGCACATAGAGGATAAGTGCTGTGACTAGGGTTGGCTCACCCCCCCCCAATTTCACTGAGAGGTCTTGACCGAGCCAATTTTGATAATTAGTTTTTGCATACAACCTACATCCCTGTAAGTTTTTCAAAATCTGTTATTATTTTTTTATGAACAAATTATTTGAATGTTTCTGTTGGTTTAGGTTACTATTGCACTTGTCATCTTAATCGGAGTCTACGTACTTATCATATTTGAGGTACGAAAATGAGAAACTTAAATCTATTTGATTGAAATAAGTATTTAATGTGCGGCCCTGTATTAGTTTTTAGCCATTTTGGTTAGAAATAGGTATCAATTTTGGCCATTTTGGTCTCAAATAGGGTGTAGTCCTTGCATTCTAGTCTTGAATTTTTTTTTTTTTTTTTTTTTTTAGAAGAAGCTATGTTTTTATTATAGGACAGGCTGAAACAGGGTATGGATTTAAGGGTCAGGTCTTAAATAGGCTGTAAAATTTTTGGTCAGGCCATAGATGGATAAGGAAAATCACAGATTTTGGTCTCAACTAGGGTAAGGGTTCTGTGAAGCGGGCTGCAGCCCCACCCAATTTTTCTGGGAGTACCACCACCGTGGTTTAATACAAACTTGTTGTCCACAGATTGAGAGGAAAATTAACTGCCACTATATACAGTGTATTAAACATAGCTGCCATATTGAAGGTTTTGTTAGCTCTCTTTAGAGGGAATAAGGAAAATATAGAATACCATGCAGAAACTTATAATAACTGACTTGTGTTTTTTTTTTTTTTGTCTGCAGCTTGTTCACAGAGCTACTGCAGCAATGCTAGGTGCACTGGCTGCTTTGTCTTTCTTGTCGTACATGAACAAGGTAAATTTGCCAGTTTTGCTGTAATTTTTATACCTTTATTTTATGGTACTATAATGTACTTAAATGCTCTAGATAATAATTTCCTGCCCTATTTAATCACTTTAACAAACTTTCAGTTGCACAACTACACGAATATGCAAATTTGTCAGTTTTCAGTGTTACTTTTCTCTAATGAAATAGTATAAATACCATGTATGTTGAGGGTTTATAACGTTAAAGTTTCTTGTGATACTTTTGTGTAGCTTCTAAGCTGGGTTAGGACTAGTACAAGGGTTCTGAATTTCCCACTTCTCCAATCTCAAACCTCTTTTCTTTGCAGTTCTTCTATCACAAAATGGTATGCAATGTTGCAACAATTTTTCTCTTTTTTTTTTCCCTGGTTCCTCCCACCGAGGTAATTGCACTTCACACCCTCACTCCTCTTTCTTGCCAATAACAGATTTCCCACTCCCTGCCCCTCCCCACAGATTAAGTAAAGTAAGGCTTTATCATAATATCTGTTCAAAGTCTGGCAGTATCCTTAGGGCAAAGCAATTATACATTGTCACTGTAGATGGTATACTTGCAATTTTCCATCCTAAGGTAGGTACCCTGTGGAGGGTTAGGCCTAGCCTAAACCCAGGGGGGAAGATGCATCTAGTGCCTTGGCTCAAGCTAAGGGTGGGAGACAACTGATAATTCAGACTGGCATTTTCCAGCATTGTTCGTGCTCATTTTTTTTTTTGACCCAGGTTGTATCAAGGCTATACCAATTTGTGAATAATAAATACTTGCTACTTGTCTTATCAAAAAATATGATTAAAAATCAGTGATGTCTACTGTGAATTCTTTTCCATGTAAATCATCATTTCATTCTTCAGAGACCATCACTTGAAACAGTTGTTACCTGGATTGAATGGGAGACTCTTGCTCTTCTGTTTGGAATGGTATGTTCTCTCATGAAATTTTAGTTCAATATTGTTATGAGGTTTTGTTTCGTGAAGGATTTATTTGTCGTCCTGATAAGGGGCTGATTATGTTTGCTTTGTTCTGTTGTAGTTTTATTTAATTTATCAATGTGTATACAGTCGAACCTCCACTAATGGCCACCGCCCTACAACGGCCACTTTTTTGTCCCTGTGGACGGTCCATACATTCACTCTTATTCTAACCTCTCTACAACGGCCACCTCTCCACAACAGCAACGGCCACTAAAACTTGTCCCAGCTGCCAAAATAACCACTCGACAACGGCCAGTTAATCAACGACTGACGAATGGGGTATGTATTTTTTTGGCTTTTTTTTTTNGGGGCGGGAAATGCTGCACCCTCCAAAACAGGTGTCACATTACACCCCTACATCCCCGTAATGGCCACTTGGCTATGTTCCCTAGATGGCCGTTGTGGAGAGGTTCGACTGTATTCGGATTTTAATGCATGTTGTATTTTCGTTTGTGGCAGATGATTCTGGTGGCAATTTTTGGCAAGACTGGGTTTTTTGATTACGTGGCATTGAAGGTTCGTAGAAAGTTGTGCACAAATGCACGTTTTAACGAGGATTTTCATTTGTTAACAAAGTTTGTCGGTCGAGCTCTGATTGGCTTAATAATTTCGTTCAACCACGCTCCAGCCGATCACTGCAAAGTTGCTGTTTTTAACCAATTAGGAGCAAAACCAAAACCAATCGAGATTGGCTTATGCCTGAGCGTTTTCCCGCGCTTGCAGTCCGCGCTTGGCGATGGGTCAGAATAGTTAAAGGCAATTTCTCAAGTTGAGAAATTTCGCCATCCTAGAGATATCGTGGGCTGGGTGACAAAGTCAGGCTTGTAGCGAAAAGTGATAGTTAGACTCGAAGAGCAGAGTTGAAGTCAAGCTCAAAACCATATTGACTGTGTGCATTGTGCGCTCCGTCCGTCTCTAATGCCAGTGTTTAAGCGATATTTTCTTTTTGTGTTTTTTATTAGGCGTACAAACTTTCTAAAGGTCATGTTTGGGGTCTCATCACTCTACTCTGCACTTGCACCGCGTTGATATCTGCTGTCCTGGTAAATATGTTTCATAGTATAACTCGTATCACTTGTAGCTAGCACTACTGTTACACTGGGATTCGGGCTTGGGCACCTGTGTTTTAGCCTGCGAACGCAGACCCATTTCTGGCTGTCGCTTGTCTCCATCGGAAATACGTCTGCGTTCACAGGCTACCTGTGTTTTGCCTAAATTTTAAAAATATTTCAACGAGTAGAGCTTGCTTTGGTGAAGAATATAACTAACCGTAGTAGGTATTGGCAGCAAATGTAAATTCATGCCTAAATGGGCAACATAGCTATGGATGCCATTTCACTAGCGCACGATAAAAAGCCAACTTGTACCAACTCCGCCCAAAATAAAAGTCTTTCTATTACATGCTGCTGCCTACAGAAAATGGAATTACAAATTTGCTTCGCCTGCTGCATACAAAATTACCCTTGGCTATATGAACTCTAAGGGAGAGTCTGTTCATAGATTTATTGCTGTTTTCCTTCAAATAGGATAATGTGACAGTCATTCTGCTCTTGACACCGGTTACAGTTACGTAAGTAAGACGTCATTTTTTTTCGGACGTGAACCAATAGCCAATGGTCATTATACCTAATGAGACCATACAACTTATTCCAAAATAGCAGCCAGTTTATTATTCTTTTGTTTACATGGTAATTAGCCCTCTTTGCCGCGTCAACATGTACAAAATGCAAAAGAATTTTGAAGTGAAAATGAGGCAAAGAGGGCTAATTAACATGCAAACAAAAGAATAATAAATTGGCCGCCATTTTGGAATAAGGTGTATTTGGGCGGTCATGCAAACGGGTGCTGTTCTCGAACGAACGAACTCTACCGAGCGAGAAAGGGAGCGGCCGAACATAGGGACGAGCGGCCGAACGTAGGGATGAGCGGCCGAACGTAGGGACAAGCGGCCGAACGTAGGGACGAACGGACGAACGGCGGACGGACGGAGGGTGGAACAGACGGATGTAAAGATCACCGTTAAGAATGTTGCCTACAGGAACGATATAAAGTTGGTAGTCATCCTTTGTGATTCCTGCCCTTAAGAGCCTAACTGTAATGTAACCCGCAAGATCGTGTAGTAAATACGATATGATTAATTTCTAGGTTATGCCAAGTCCTTAACCTGAATCCTACGCCTGTCCTAATAGCTGAAGTGATATTTTCTAATATTGGTGGAACGGCGACAGGTAAATGTATTCAAAATTCAGTTCTTCAGTTGACTGTTTAGAGCTCCATAACTGCTTTAACATTCAGTGGTCAATCAGAGCTAAGATGTCTTTCAAAACTGGCAAATCAATCATTTTTCGGCTTACGCCACGTGTCAGCGCTTGGCTCTGATTTACACGTTTTCCCGCGCTTGGTATTGGTTACACGTTTTCCCGCGCTTAGCACTGGTTACATGTTTTCCTACGCTTAGCACTGGTTACTTCGTTTCCCGCGCTTAGCACCGGTTACGTGTTTTCCCACGCTTAGCACTGGTTTCATGTTTTCCCGGGCATGGAATTGGGTACATGTACATGTTTTCCCGTGCGTAGCACCAATTACGTGCTGAAATGTTTCGTCGTGAGTTTTGCTTAATGTTTTGACTGGCTCTTTACTCTATTGCCCTTGAAGTGATTAGTTCTCCGTCTACTTTGGTTTCAGTGTTACAAAGGCCACTTGGGTGCGAAGTTTTCATTCTTGCAAATATACTATACTGTCTTCCAGCATGGTCTTATGTCTTTATGATTTCTTGTTCTTTTTATAGCAATTGGTGATCCGCCAAATATAATTCTAGTTTCCAGCAAGGACCTAAAGGCACACGTAAGTTGCTTCAAAGCTCCTTCAAGCGCTGAATAAGTCAATAAATAAACCGCTGACTTGTAGTTACTACATCGTGATCACCCGGATGAACAATTTAATATATTTCGAGGGTCTGGAGGGTGATGCAAAAATTCTTCCAGACCCCTTCCAAACCCCTTAGTTCATCTCCCGATGTCAGAACTGCAATATACTGTATTATATCTGAATATATATAGACGAAGAACTGAGACATTGAAAATTCACCTTCGTGGTTGACCTTCTCTCACGTTGCTATTTCAAGCATTATTTTTTTGAATGGGGATGGGGGGGGGGCAATTTACCAAAAAATTCCTGCACAGCAAAAACTGCTGAAAACAAATGTGCAAGGGGAGTCTTGGGGACAAGAAATCGAGCAAGTGCTTTCTACTGTCTTGGTCTTATTTTTAATGTTACAAACTTCTTGCACAAGTTATTGCCCACCAAAACAAAAAAAAAAAAATGCACAACCTAAAGATGAAAAAAAAAAAAATTCATGCCCCAGAAAATTGCCTAACCCCCTTCCCCCACCATAAAATAATGTTCCCTCCATAAGATGCATAAAGGAACAGCAGAAACATGATACTGTTCATTAGTTTAAACTTTGCGATGTTCTCGCTTGTTGTCATGATCAGTTCAGAGCCTACACTCAAAAATTTATTTCTTGTCGATGTTCCTCATTCACAAGCTACCAGTTTCGCGTTTGCTTTAATAATGCAAGATTATTTAGTACTTGCGAGGCGTGAATCTTACTTTTGCTTGTTGTATAACTGAAATGTACAGCCTTTCTTTCCGCAGATATTTGTCGCTCTTTAGGTCTAATTGCTATTAAGGAGAAATTGTAACACTAACAAATGGCTTAACTTTCCCTTTAGGGTATCAATTTTACAGATTTCACTAAACATCTGATCGGAGGGATATTTTTCTGCCTTGTGGTAGCTTACGGAATTTTAAGGTATTTCTCATACACTCTGTTGTTGAGAGGCACGGTGGCCTCATGATTAGTGTGCTTGTCTGTGGATCGAGCAGTCTGGGTTCGAGCCCTGGCCGGGGACATTGTGTTGTGTTCTTGGGCAATAGGCTTTCTTCTTACAGTGCCCCTCTCCACCCAGGTGTATAAATGGGTACATTGTACCAGCGAATTTAATGCTGGAGGTAACCCTGCGATGGACTAGCGTCCGATCCATGATGGAGTATAAATACTCCTGGTCGCTTCATGTTACAGACAACGGCCTGATGGACCACGCGGCTCATATGCAGACTTACGTTGGCTTATCTCCATGTAACAATAACGAAAGGGAAACGTTTAATTTCCCGTACCACTCACCTACACACCTTCAATCTCTATTGGTCTCTCGTTCCTTCTTGAAAGCTAAGTCGAGTTCGCTACACACCCATTAATTTGCGTGATGTAGCAGCTCTCGTAAGGTCTCACATGAATGGCTTGCTACCCTTTGAGAGAACAATAGAACAAACAACAGAAACAATGCCACTAGCCCTAAAACAATAACAGCTGCTAACAATGAAGAGAATTACAAGCTTACGAGAGCTGCTACACTTCTGATTAATTTACATCTGATTCCAGTTTTCCAATCCGTTTTTTTCTGAGCGATCATAGTGAAACCAGTACGCTGTATTTTTACAGCCAACTTTTTCTGGACTATTAATAGTTTTATTTCTCTTTGAGGGAACAATAGTGAATCAATGTCCAAAATAACGACATCATAGTAATGATGGCAATTGAACAATTAATTTCTGTTTTGTTAATGCTTTTGTAGGCTTCTTTACTTGAATGTGAAAATCGTGAATGATGATCCACCTATAGTAGAAGGTATACATATTTTTCAATTTGTTTGTACAGTGTAGAGCCATATTTGGCTACAAAACAGTCTCCGTTGTTATGGAAATTGTAAGAGAAGCCTTGATTCGCTAATATTCGGTATTAGTATAAATCCACTAGCGTTCTATCACAAATGCCGTTCTCTGAGTAGCGTACCCCTTGTTAACAAAGTGACGGCCGCTTCTTGGCGTTTTCGAAGTGTCTGTGTAGAGGATTTAGATAAAGTTTCGAATGACTTGCAGATTTATACTAGAACAATTAGATTATTCGCTCTCGATTTCTATGCGTGATAGAAATCTCGAGCTCATAATATAATTGCCTAGTATTCATGTATGACGCTGGCGCGCCTTTCGTGCCCAGTCCCACTTCCAACACGGCAGGAGCATAACTCTCCCCATACCCTTCAAAAAGAATGGGCAGTATTTCGCAGGTTACTATTGTGTCTAGTTGGATTTAAGAAAGTAAAAACGTATTAAGATCAGTGGGAATCAACTACAGTAGTTTCGAGAAAGGTCTCAGGAATCATTTCTAGACATAAGCCATTCAAAAGAAAAGTCTTCAGTATTCTCCCAATGTGAGTCGAACCTTTATCTTCCGCCACGATCTAACTTAGTTACAGAGACTTGTGGGAAGCGGGTCATATAACCATGATCAAAGTTGGCGAACGTCCCACAAATGACATCCAGTAGTTTGGTCAATGAATGAGGATATTTGTAAGAAATGTTGATATACTTGAAGCTCGGCATATACCGGTAATCATTTCTTTCCAACAATATAATTTATTTTGTGTAAAGTTGTCACCCTTCTGCAAAGTGTAGTAATTGCTTTTATGTCTGATTGCGCTGAATGTGTTGTTTCTGTTTTACACAGAGCTAAAACGAGAAGCCGAAATCTGGAAGAGATCAGCGGACCGCCTGCCGTTTGTCTCCGCTGAGGAGAAAACTGTCAAACTGTTGCTGATACAAAAGGTCATGACTCTTCAAAACATTGTCAGGAACATGAAAAGAAACACGTGAGAAGCCAAATTTTTTAACTTGTTAGAGGAGTTTGGACGGACACTGTGTCGTGAGCACGGTGTCTTTGTTTTAGTCTTGCGTTGCATATGTTTTCCCGCGCTTCGCATTGACTGGTTACATGTTTTCCCGCACTTCGCACTGACTGGCTACATGTTTTCCCGCGCTTTGCACTGACTGGTTACATGTTTTCTCGTGCTTCACACTGACTGGTTACACGTTTTCTCGCGCTTGGCACTGACAGGTTACATGGTTTCCCGTGCTTCGCACTGAGTGGTTACACGTTTTCCCGCGCCTGGCACTGACTGGTTACATTTTTTCTCGCGCTTTGCACTGACTGGTTACATGTTTTCGCGCGCTTCTCAGCCACTTAATATTTTCCTAAGCTTGCCAACGGTTACATGTTTTCCCGCGCTTGGCACGGTTTACTTTGGACAAGCATGATCAAAATGAATTTAATTTTGGTTGTATAACCGCCACCAGAAAATCTCTTTATCACTCATCTATAAAACGTAGCCGTCAGTGGCTCACTCAATTCTCGTTTTACGGGTTCGAATCCCGTTGAAGCCCTGATTTTTTTCAGGCTTCTTCTTTCCAATTGCTTAAATTGGAAAATATACTGCGATGATCATTCTTCAATTTCATCTACAACCGCAGTTCATATATGAATTATTTCATATAAACTTCACATCATTTCACTCCTCAAGGGAAGATATGAACTCAATTAAGTGGCCTCGCTCCCAATGTGTGGCTTCATAGCTCAGTTGGTAGAGCATCGCACCGGTATCGCGGAAAATATACTGCGATGATCATTCTTCAATTTCTTTTACTCAACAAAACAACAACAAAATCAACCAGGAATCATGTAGTTAGTTAGGTGAATTATTTTCTTCTCAGTTCCACAAGAGAAGCCTTCCAACAAAGTCTGCAAGAACTGGAAAAAAAGGTAAATAATTGCAGTATGTATATTCAAGGCGAACTTGGATACAGCTTAGAAATTAAGCCAAGTGTCTGGTTTATGCTTCAATTAAAAAATGTAGGGTTATCTGGGTGGAGGACATTTACTTTTTTTCCGACCTTGCAGGTGTTTGAGTTGTTGACGTACATGTCAACCTATGATCTTGCGTATCTTTTCCAAACGCCTCGCTGGCACAGCACAACACAGAACAAACACAACCAAACACAACACAACAAAACAAAACACAAAAACAATACACAACAACAACAACAACAAAAACGCAACCCAACAAAACAGCGCAGCAACAACAAAACACAACGCATCTCAACTCAGTCAATACAACACACCAAAATCAAACACAACTCAACAAAACAGAACAAAGCACAGCACAACAATAAAAAAACGCAACACAACACAACAAAACAGCACAGCAACAACAAAACACAACACGTCTCAACTCAACACAACAACACACACCAAAATCAAACACAACCCAAAAAAACAGAACAAAGCACAACACAACAATAAAAAAACGCAACATAACACATCACAACAGCATAGCAACAACAAAACACAACACATCTCAACTCAACACAACACAACACAACAAAACCAAACACAATACAACAAAACACAACAAAACTATTAAAAAACGCAACACAACGCAGCACAACAAAACAGCACAGCAACAACAAAACACAACACTTCTCAACTCAACAAAACACAACAAAATAAGCTACATCAAAGCACAACTGTACCTTACTGAAATCCGTCTTTTTGTTTTCAGTACGTCATAAGGGACAAAATGCTTTTAATGAAGAGCTCAATTGTCATCACATTGGTCATTGTCTTCTTTTTCATCCACTCGTTTGTAACTGGACTCTATCTTGAAGTAGGTGAGTGTATTGCTATCTACTGTTCATTACGCTCTCCATTTCCAGTGTGAGACCAACGTGCCGTTGACAACTGAACTTCATTTCAAACAGTAAAAGGTCTATACTATATTAGTATAAATCTGCTAGCGTTCTATCTCAAATGGCGTTCTCTGAGTGGCTACGCTACTCACTATCTATTTAAACAATAAAGTGTTTCTGTCGAGGAACTATCGGCTGATAGTTACCCCGCGGAAATTTGATGTTCTTAAAACAAATATTTGCCCGAGAAGCGAAGTTTCGAGGGCAAATATGATAGTTTTAAGAACATCAAATTTCCAAGAGGCAACTATCAGACCGATAGTTCCGAGACATAAACACTCGATTGCCTTTATTGTTCACCGCTGAATTTTCCGCGCGCCAGTTCAAAAATCATATTGAATTATTTTCAACTTTTTTAGAAAAAAGCCGTTAAAGCCGAATGTAAAATTTAAAAAGGAAAATAAACAAAACTCACTTAATACAATTTCACTTGTTTATTTTTTTATAAGCTCGCTTGTTTTCAGAAATTTTTCACGGAAAAGTACTATCCATCCGGGTATTTTCCTCGGACGGGCACTATGGGCTGATAGTGTCTCTCCGCGGATGGATACTATCGCGTCACGTGATCAACTTAAACCAATAAGAATCGAAGAAAATTTAGTGGTGAACTATAATCTGTGAGAGATAGTGAGTAGCGTAGCAGTGTGCGCTTGTTAACGAAATGAGGGCCGCTTCTTGGCGTTTTCGAAGTGTCTGTGAAAAGGATTTAGATAAAGTTTTGAACGACTAGTAGATTTATACTAAAACAATTTGATTATTCGCTCTGGATTTCTATCATGCCATAGAAAATACAGTGGACAACACAATCAATGTGATTTACGCGCGGAGCATGACGGGAAAGTTAGATGTAATACCGTCGAATATACAACGGCTTTCCTGTATTCTGATTGGCTGTATTTTCTATGGCATGGATTCAATTTAATTTGATTTTGCGTGGCTCACTTGTTTTCTCTTACAGGGTGGATTGCCATGCTTGGAGCCATACTTTTGATATTGTTGGCGGACGTAACACACATTGAAGATCTAATGGAACAAGTGGAGTGGACAACACTTGTGTTCTTCAGCGCTCTTTTCATTCTAATGAAGGTTGGGTGGAACAATAGTCCTTTCATTTTCTTATTGAATAAGGCAGTGTCCACACCACGCTGGAGAAATTTTAAAACGCAACTTTATTTCTACGGTTAGGCCTACCGTCCACACTGATCCATCACGAAAACGGAGCTTTTAAAAAACGCTCTTTAAACCGGAGGAATTTGAAAACGCCGGGTTTTTGTTTTCATGTTGTTCATTTCGAAAACGATGTGAGCTTTCCTCAAATACAAATCTAAAATGACCGGTGACTGTTGCGTTTTTAAAATTTTCCCCGTGTAGTGTGGACGGAAAACATTTGCTGCGTTTTCAGATTGAAACCTCCGTTTTCAAATTCCGGCGTAGTGTGGACGGAGCCAAAAGGATAAATTTTACAGTACCACAAATGATTCTTCTTTCTATACGTGTTTACTGAAACTGGTTTCTTTTGTGACGTCCTGGTAACTAGTGTTTTCTAAGAGAGTGACGTCACGCGCGATTGAACGAAACCCCCGTCACCCTCCCCTAGAGATTACAAAATGTCCCTAAACATATCGCGTTATTATGTTTATATTTTTAGTCTCTCGAGGAACTTGGGCTTATGCAGTATCTTGGAGAGGAAGCATCACATTTGATACCGGTTGGTGCGTTGATTATTGTCAGTTCGAAATCTTCACTAATCAGCTTTTAAAATAGGGGGAAACGAAAAATTGTTCGAAACAGTGGGAGTTCTAAATAGCCAATGGTAAATAACTGAAGAGCAAAACCAAGGGAATGGTTTTGAGTTCCAAATAACGGGGAATTCGAAATAACCGAGTTCGAATTAGCCGGGTCCAACTGTAGAACAATAATTCGTATAGACATTGCGAACAGTGGAACAATATAAGGTTATAATCCTCTTGTAAACATGATTCCTTGAAATAGAGACAAGTAGAGACACAAAAGACACTTTAATTCACTCACAGCTTACCTTTAGTGCATTCAAATCGTCCGCCATTTTGAATTTGACCCTCGCACGTCAACGGTGACTGACAAATGAGCCTTGGTCTTCCCAAGGAAGACTTCCTTATATAGCGCGCCTTCGTGTTTAAATTCAGCCTAAAACAATAGACCTCAGTACGAGGCTCTGGGGAATAACTACAAAGTTTGCTGGGTTTATTCCCCAGGGCCTTGTGTTGAGGTCTATTGAGTTAGGCTGAATTTTAATGTATCGAAATTGGTCTATTATGTATTTCTTTTTGTTTACCGACGGAAAGAATGGAACCGTAATGAAAGTGAAAGAAGGACTTAAGAAAAAGGAACTGACTAAACCGTTTTAACAATAATAATAATAATAATAATAATAATAATAATAATAATAATAATAATAATA